GTGGGCTCGTGAGCTACGGATCCTCTGTGCTTTCCCCCCATGATGCCCAGCAGGGCCCCCGGCACCAAGCAGGGCGCAGACAGTGACGGTGACCAGGGAGTCCATGTGCAGACGGGAGGCCTGCTCTCTCCCTCCGGCTCCTGGGATGGCCAGAGCCTTCCACTCTGGGGCTGGCAGCCATGGGGGCTGAGTCCTGTGGGTGCCCAGCAGGGGGACTCTGGACCCCTCAGCCCTACAGAGTCAGCCCTGACCCCATCCCAGGCACCCACCCCCCACCCAGCCTGCTGTGCTTTGTCCTCTGGAGACGCCTGCGCAGCCAGGCCTGGGGGTGGGTCAGCCTGAAGGGCGTCCCTAGTGTCCACCCCTCCTCGTGCCCAGCTCCTCCAGTCCTCCAGGATGGAACTGTCCATGCTGCAACCCCCGCCTCACCATTGTCCTCAACCCAGGCCAGCGCTCGGCCCAGCGGGAAATGAACTACAGATGCCTGTGGCCCAGAGCTGTGCCCCTGGACAGTCCCCACCCGTCCCCGGGGAGAGTGGCCTTGTCCCCAGGTCATATTCCAGACGGCAGAGAGAGTGGTGAATATGACGTCCTGGGCTCTGGAGGCCCTGCCCGTGGAGCATCAGCAGGCAGAGGACAGGCCACGCTGATGCTAAGAAGAAAAGCAGAGTCTCAGGGAATAGCAGGTGTGGAGCATTAGACCAGGTGTGGGGTAGGGAAAGCAGGTATGGGAAGGGGAACAGGTGTAGGAAGAGAGCAAGGGTGGGGGGAGAGCGGGGGTGGGGGCAGAGCAGGTGTGGGGACAGAGCGGGTGTGGGGGGAGAGTGGGTGTGGGGGGAGAGCAGGTGTGGGGGCAGAGCAGGGGTGGGGGAGAGCAGGGGCGGGGCAGAGCAGCTGTGGGGGCAGAGCAGGTATGGGGGCTGAGCGGGGGTGGGGCAGAGCGGGAGTGGGGGGAGAGTGGGGGTGGGGGAATCGGTATCCCACTCTGGTGGAGGGGAGGCCTGGCTGGTGGGAGGGAGCCAAGTGTGGGGCAGAGAGAATGGCCCTCAGCCTCCCTGGGGTGGGAACGTGCTTGAGGAGCAGCGAAGTGGGGGAGGGGAGGGGAGAGGGAGGCCAGAGATGCTGCCCCTACTCCTGGAGTGGTAGGCCTCCACTTCTGCCCCGGGGAACAGAGCCGGGAGGGGATGCTGTGCCTCATCCCAGGGAGAGGAGAGGAGCTGGTGAGCCACTGAGTTGTAACTGTCCATCCAGGGGCACAGGACAGCCACTCAGCCTCTCACACGGCTTGCCTCTGAGGCCTCAGTTTCTCCGTTTTGTCAGGAGAGGTGACAGGGAGGCCCCTCCAGCTGAGACATTTCCTGGCTCCCTCGGCCGGGATCCCCAGGTGTGCTTTGCAGGCTGGGCCTAGACATTCACAGAGAGACCTTTAAAACTACGCCCTTGTGTTCAGGACTAATTTCTACTATGGCGGATGATGCTGGCTTCTCATTTATAGTGGCAGCATGAACTCGGTTTCGAGTGTACGTATCGAAGGACAAGGAAGCCTTTGGTGCAAGGGGTAATGTGAAGACAGAACCTTGCAGAAGGCTCAGCCTGGGACTCGGGGGCCTCCTCAGGCCCCCGGATGAGGAAGGCCAGGAGCGGCCTGAGGTCACAAGAGTGTGGTGGCGGCACCAGCTGGGCCTGGGGTCTCGCGGTCCAGGGCTCCGTCCTGCAGGGCAGGAGGAGCGTGTCCAGCAGCAGGGGAGCGGGGTGAGCGTGAGCCCTGCATCACCGGCTCCTGCAGGCCTGCGAGCGCCAGGCCAACTTGCCAAACCTTGGTCTCTCACTCCCTCCTGTAAATAACGCTTACCGAGCACCTGCCGTGTGCTTGGCACGGAGCAGAGCGGAGCCCGAGTCCAGCCAGCCGTGGGAGCCGACGCAACAGGACGTTTACAACACCCACGGTGCACGCGGTCACCGGCAGAGATGGCAGAGGGACGCGGACACAGACAGGGGACTGGGCAGCCCCTGTGACGAGGGGACGCCCACCTGCAGGAAGGATGCTGCTGAGATTCTCTGCAGCTTAGATCTCAAAGTCGGTCTCGGGAGGGAAGAGAAGAGCGGACTGAACCAGAGAACCTTGGGAGACGTGAAAACCGCTTCCGAAGCCGGCTGCCCGCCGCCCCGTCTGAAGATCGGACTTGGTTCTGCCGCCTTCCCTCGGGAGGACACCGCAGGGACCGAGCGGCGGCCCATGTTGGGCACAGATGCAACCAGAGTTCTGGAGCAGGACCGCTCACCGGGGCGTGTGGGGACCCGAGGCTCGGATTTGGTGTGCTGGCCTTCCTGCCTGCCCTGGCACCGTCCCCAGCAGAGGCAGAGCTGCGACTTAGGGCGCCGCTTCGATGGCCAGGAAGGAAGGGGCAACTTCTTTCTGCCTCAGGCGGTGCCACAAGGTCAGGCCCGCTGGGTTTCTGAGCGGTGGCGTCCACGCAGATGAAGGGGGATCCTGACGGAGCTGCTGTGGGGGTGCAGCTGCGCTCTCTGTGTGCCACCCGTCCCACATCCAGACGGAGCCGCGCCGGGGGTCTCCACCGAGGTGGCTGTGGGGCCACCACTGGCTCCATCTGCATTGCAGGCATGACAAAAGCCTGAGAGCAAGGACTGCCCTTGGAATCCCTGCGGGCACCTCCCCAGCACCCCGCGTGTCCTATGCGGCCCTGGGGTGGTCATGTCACTCAGTGGCCCCAGCTGTGAGATGAGCAGGGCCGTGCGCCGGGCTGACTTCCCTGGGCCACGTGTTCTTGCTGCTCACACTGCCTGTCCCGGCTTCTCCCCCGGGAGGGTGAGCCCCGCGCTCCTCAAGAAGCAGCTCTGAGCACCTCCAAGGGGAGGTCAGGAACAGATGCCAAGATTCTGGCCACCCCATGGGGTGGTGATTCACCTGACATAGTGATAGGTGGATAGAAGGAGGGAGGGAAGGAGGCAGGATGGATGATGGGGGACAGAGGATGGTGGGTGGATGGAGGGATGGGTGGGTGGAGGGGTGACAGACAGAGAAAGAAGGGAAGGACATAAAGGTTAATCTTTTTTTTAAAGATCTTATTTTTATTTATCTGAGAGAGACAGCAAGAGAGAGAGAGATTAATAGAACGAGTGAAGGGAGGGTCAGAGGGAGAAGCAGATTCCCCGCGGAGCAGGGAGCCTGACACGGGGCTCGATCCCGGGACCCCGGGACCATGACCCGAGCCGAAGGCAGACGCTTCACCAACTGAGCCACCCAGGCGCCCCAAAGGTTAATCTTTTGAGAGAAAACTTCTGAAACATGATGCAACACCCAGGCAGATATAAACTATTTCTATTATTTGTTTCATGCCTCCTTGGTTGCAAGTTCTACCCATTTTCACGAATGTCAACTGTTTTAGTCGTTTACTCAATTCCCTTAACGAACACAGCTAGAGAGCCTACCGTGGACCGGGCACCAGGCTGGAGTCCAGGCACACAACCTCTCACGGTGGGGACTGCGCCACCACCCCTCCCCTCACGTCCAGCACCCGGGGGGCCTGCTGAGGAGCCCCTGCCCTGATTGACCTCCCCATGACCCACCCCCCAGCTAATAGTCCCCTTGAAGGAGAGACCCAGGGACCACAGAAGAGCTGAAATGACAGCCAGGGTGAAGCAGGTGGGGGAAGGTGGGGGCAAGAGCCCCCCCAGACCCCTGCACACCCTGCCCTGGAGTAGGCTAGGTTGGACCCCCCCCCCCCCAGCCAAGGTCACGGTCACGTGGGACTGTGGGCTTGACCGATGGGAGGACGAGAACGAGTCTAGGTAGAAAAAGTGGGCGGACCCTCCTGAGCCCCTAGAGCCCCCACCCCAGCCCGTGGCCCAGCCAGACTGACAGCATGGCTTGGTCCCCAAGCTGCCCTGTCACCTCCGGGCAGCACATGCCACCTCTTCCGGAAGCCTGCCCTGGTTTCCCCAGCCCTGGCTCCCCCAGAAGTTTGTGGCGTCCCCGCCAAGCCTGCCCTGCAGGTCCTGGCTGATGCTGCCTGGAGTCGGGGCCCAGGGCCGACACACGTCTTCCGTAAAGGGCCCCACAGTCAACGTCTCAGGCTCTGCAGGCCACGTGATCTCTGTCACAATCACTCAGCTGTTGTGCAAAAATAGCCACAGTGTGCAAATGAACGGATGTGGCCCTGTACCGATACAACATTACTGACAAGACGAAGCAGTGGCAGGTAAATGTGGCCCGCGGGCCGTAGCGTGCCGGCCTGACCCATCGTACGCACGCGTTGGATCGCGTGATTCCCCTCAAAGCCCCTCAGTGACTCCCAGCTGTCCACAAATATCCAGATGCCATATCGGGCGCCTGGGACCTCGGTGGACAGGCTCGCCATTCCTCAGCATCTCTTGTCACTGACGGTCACTCAGGAACGTTTAGTGCACATTCTCTGAGCACCTGTGTGTTGGGCGCGGCCATCGGCCCTGGGGACATGGGGTGAGTGGGACAGCTGTGGTCTCCCAGAGCTCAGTCTGGTCAGGGACAGAGAGGACGAGGAAGTGACAGCACAGGACTGAGACAGTCAGAACTGGGGTGGGAGCCGCCGGCGCAGAGACCAGTCCAAGGGCAGGTAACGAGGGCCTGGCGCGTCTGTAGGAGCGTCCCTCTCTCTGCAAAGTGTCCATCCCTGGTTGTCCAAGCCCCACGCAGCACGGTGCTCTCTGGGCACCCCCATTCTCCTCCTTTCTCTCTTGGCACCAAACACGATTGTACCTACCGAAGCTGGGGCCGCTGAGGAGAAAGCAGCCAGGCCTCGTGGTGCCACTCCATTGCCCACAGCAAGCGAAGGGGAACGTCCTTGCAGCAGGGTGGGGGCCAAGAGCTCCCAGGGGCCCCGCGGTCCCGACCCGCCACAGGGACCGGCCATGGGGAGCGCGTCGGTTGATGAAAAGGATGAGCAGCCTGTAAACTGAGACCCAGACTGAAGCGCTGTGCCTTCCCACCCCTTTCCTTCCAGAAAGTTCAGCAGTACACCGTCATCGTCCAAGCCACAGACATGGAGGGGAACCTCAACTACGGCCTCTCGAACACAGCCACGGCCATCATCACGGTGACGGACGTGAATGACAACCCGCCAGAGTTCACGGCGAGCACGGTGAGTGGTCGCGTCCCCGGGCAGCTGGCTGGCTGCTCTCCTCGAGGCTGACGGATAGCGGCCCCGGGGCGCTGGGCGGCAGGAGCTGATGCGGAGGCCGGAGGCGCTGCCCCGGAGCTGGCCTGGGGGAGGGGGGTTGTGCTCCCATCAGCACTGGGAGGCCCGACACGGAGCGACCGTTGACGCCCGAGAAGTGTCCGGGACCGAGTGGACTGGACACTCTTTCTGAATCCAGAGTTGACCGGTGGTATTGGGGCTCAGCCACTTTTGGAGGCAGGCGTGTGGCTGTGTGCACAGTGGGACCTGCTGGCGGATGCCCAGGTGGGGCCTCGGCCGGGGACAGGCCAGTCCCTGCAGGAGGAGCTACCCTCCGCAGCCTACTGTGAGCAGCGACCTGGGGGCGGGGACTGGGAGCTCTTCCCCTTCAGGCACGGCTGGTGGGCTGCCGCGGAGCCCCACACCGGGCTGCTCTGGACCTAAGTGACCCAGTGTCCTTGGTGGACACTCGTGCATGTGCACTCGGGGGCCAGAGCCCCTGAGTCACAGGGACGCCGGCAGGCTGCAGCCGCCCCGCGGGTTTCCGGATCGCCTCTCGGAGCTGCCCCTGTCCTGGGGTCCGGGCCACTGGAGGGCCAAGGGGACGAGGTGTGACAGCAGTAACAGTAACAGGCACCGCACAAGCCACGCTGGGAGCCCTCCCCTGCCAGGCTCTAGTCCCCCGGCGGGGATGCCGAGGCTCGGAGAGTCCAAGTCACTGGCCCAAACCCACACCGCTAGACCCTAAGTGGGAGCAGCTGGGATTGGACCCCAGAAGCTGTGCTGATTCTGCAGCAAGGAGCGGGGGCGGGAGGGGAAGGAGGTGGGGAGACAGGCAGGAGACCCTCCTTCTCCCCAGAGCTGGTCATCGCCAGGAAGGCCTCCCTCAGGCCAGAGTCCCGGGGACAAGCCCAGCCCAGTGCCTGGGCATCCCCTCATCCTGCTTCCCCATGCCCCACGCCCTGCGTGCTCCTGCCCCGAGGCCCAGAGTCCCAGATCCCCTGCGCCTGCACCCCCGCACCCCCACTTCCTGCACCCTCGGCGCTGGCGCCACGACCTCGCCCGTGAGGGCACAGCGCCATCTAGTGGGCAGAGGGCAGGCCGCATGCAGGGGGAGCCCCGCTCCTGGCGGCAGAATCAGCACCGCTTCTGGGGTCCAAACTCCGAGCGCGGGCGTTTGTCCAACCGCACCCAGATGTGCTCCACAGACGCTCCGTTGGACGAAGGAAGCCAGAGCCCCAGAACCACGCGCCCCACATGACGCCACCCGCGTGACGGAGCAAGGTCGTAGCACAGGCCAAGGCCACCGTGGTGATGGGCGCGGGGCGGGGCTGCTCCAGGGACGGGCAGGAGGTTGCTCCTGGCCGGTGGCAAAGATGTGTGCATCATACCACATTCCCGTCACACAACGAGCAAAACCTCTACCTGACTCGAGGCAGGAGAGCCACAGGTCCCTCCGGGAGCCCGTGTCTTGGAGCGGATGGGATGTGCCCGCTTCGGCCCCCGGTAAGTTAGACACCAGCCAGCCACCCTGTGCGTAGACGACGGAGTCCGGCTGGGGGGGGGCAGGAGGGCGGGCGAGGGCTCTGGTCTGCGTCTGGCCGGAGCCCACTGGCTTTTTGCCCGTCACTGTCACTACGGGGGGGTGTGTGATCGCCTGCCCTCCCCGCTGGCCACACCTCAGAGCGCCCAGGTGCCAGCTTGGACCCATGTTCAGCACGGATCTCCGGACCATCCGTGAGCAAACCCACCGCACCAGCGGCTTCACTTACTCGTTTTCTCCTTTTTAAAGATCGATGTGAGCTCTCAGTTAGGTGATTCACACGCGGTACAGGAATTTAAAAGGTATGAAATGACCGGCCACGAAGAAGGCGTCCCCTCCCGCCCCTTCCTGCCCCCACCGGGCACTCCCACCCTACACCTGCTGTTGTCTGGCTTCTGTTTTTTCCCTCGCAATGTGTCTGGGAGACTTCCACATCCGCAGTTCCTGAGTGGCCCTGGGATTTTGCTCAGTGCTTATTGGGAATAACGTCAGGCTCACGGGAGAGCTGCCAGGGCAGGAATGAGAAGAACAGCCGATGCCCGCGCACTCTGCCGCAGGGACCACGGAATGCTGCACGGCTGTGACAGAGAGTCCTATGTGTCGCGGCCCTTGCATCTAGAAGCTTCTGTGTATTTCCCGAGAGGTTTTCCCTGACGTGGCCTCTGAGGCCTTCAGGTAAACGGCCACCAGAGACAACTGAGGCCCAGAAGGCTAGTTCCAGGTGGCCCGAGGCCACACAGAGAGACCGTCAAACCCAGAGCGCCTGCTTCCTTGGCTCCCCCCCTTGTGCCACACGGCTGTCCTTCCGGACCCCAACAGTGTCTTCTGTCCCCTTCTGGGGTGGAACATCTTCTGCAGCTCCAGCGAGGGCCCCGGGCTGCCCCACACCTGCTCCTGGAGGGCAGGCCTTCTGCCCGCTGTCCCAGCCTCGGTCCAGCTGTGACAGCCGGTCCTCCGAGTCTGAAAGCTGTCTTCCCTTCCGCATGGCATCCACAGTGAAAACACCCGCAGATCCCCCCAGAAATGCTGGTCCTGGGAGGGCCCGTGACGGAGTGAGGACAGGGAGGGTTGTGCGAAGGGTGCCCTTCTGCCTCCCGGGGCTGGGCGTACCCACGAGGGGAGGGATGGAGGATGTCCCTTGATCCACACACACCTCTGAGACTTGGGCGCCGCGGGAACCACACTGAGACCCTGGACAGAAGGAACATCCAGCCCCGGAAGGTGACTTGGAGGGCGTTCTGGGGAGGACTCCTGCCTGCACAGCAGGATGAAGGAAGGTGGGCACAGCCTGGCTCCCGGGGACGTTGCACCTGCCCCTCCTGTGCCCCAGGCGGCCTCAGGCAGGCTTCGGGCCTGGAGAAGAGTATGAGGATGAAGGCTGGTGTGCTCAGTGGTACCTCGGATCCTGATGTTGGTCGGCCCAGAGAGCGTGCAGCAGCCCGGCCTCGCTCGTCAGACCTGCGGGCCGCTGGGGCCGGGACCGGGTTCCCCACAGGGAATGTGCTCCAACCCCCACACCCGATGGCTACCGTCCCAGTGACCGTGGGCTCAGTACGGGGGTCAGGGTGGCCCATGGCGTGTTCCTTGAGACAGGTGCTGGGCGGGGCCCCAGGACACTGTCGGCTTGGCACGGGGGGGGGGGGGGGGGGGGGCGGGGCCGAGGGCTGGCCACATCCCTGCACGCAGCCCGGCTATTTTTATCAAGCTTAATCAAGAACAATCAGCAGAAACTGCAGAGATGAGGGGGATTTGCATGATCCGGTTCCTATTCTTAAATGTTAATTAAAAGTTATTTTCCTTTTGCCTGTGCTGCACGCGGGGTAGAGGGCAGCCTGCCGCGGGGCCGTCAGACCGTTCAGCCGGCCCACTCCACACTCCCTCAAGGGCGAACGTGGGGGTCTGCCGGGCTAGGGGCTGAGGCCCCCAGGACACAACCTGCACTCTGCCCCAGGGGCTCCTGTTGGCCTTATCCTGGGGTCTTGGTGGGAGGCCCTGGACCCCCAGTGTCCCGGGCCCTTTCCACCAGCCCAGGCCCCTCACATGCCCACGGAAGGGTCTCCTGGAGTCAGGAAGCCCCTCTCATTAGCCCTGCCTCGGCCCCTGCTAGCTGGACCTCTCTGAATGTCCCCACTTCACCCTGAAGTGACATACAGTCCCGAGGTGACGTCAGGAGCATCCGCTGATCTCCACGAGAGTTTATGCCTTGAACGATGCTGTCCTCTGGTCTGTAAGTGCCACAGACGGGGCAGGGGCCTGAGCAGAACGGTTCAGCCTCAACACACGTGAGTCCTGCCCCAACTCTGACATCAGGTGAGGGGCTCCCAGCGCGGTTACCAGATCGCTCGATCTCAGCCTGGTTCCCTCAACTCTTGCTGGGGGGTGAGAAGTCATTGAGGTACAGCGTTTTTGCTGTCCAGGAGTGTTGTGGCTGATGGGACACATTTCCTTCTATCGCACGTTTTGACTGCATGGCCTGCTCCCCATACCAAGGCAAGCATGAATAAAATTACATGTTAAAAAAATGAATTTAGATAAATTAATATTCAAGTAAATGTTACAAACAAAAGGGAGAATGATCGTGATGCCCCCCCCCCCCCGCCCTGCCAGGGCTCTCCAGAGATGGGGCGTCATTGTGGAGGCCGGCATCGGCCCACGGCAAGCTCAGCCCCTCTTGCGCACAGGTCACCTTCAGAGGAGTTAGAAATGGTTTGCCAGAGGCAGGGGCAATGAACTGGGGAGCCCTGGGTCCTGTGAGGCTGGGGCCCCCACGTTTTTAAGGCTTTTCTTAGGATAAAACTTGAAGTTCCATCCTCAAAGTGGCCTGCCTGGCTAGGTGGAAAGGCCGCCTTGGCTTTGGGGTTAGACCATGGGCTAGCCTTGGAACCTTCCTGGGGGCTGGCTGGGCCCCTGCCGCCCAAAAGTGGGCCTGCTCTGGCCCAAGCCCTGGGAATCCCCAGTATCCTCAGCTTTTCAACTCAGTCCACAAACCCAGGAGAAGGGAGAAATTTCAACTCAGCCTGAGTTCCTGAGAATAAAAATCTGGCATCTCAAAATTGGAATAGACCCATCGCCCTTAATTGTGCTCAGGCACTTGGTGCCAAGCCTCTGCCATAGAAAATTAATGGGAGACAGCATCTCTGAGCACCGAGGAGACAGGAGGCCAGAGCGCCTGGCCCCACCTGACATCGCCTGACAGGCCAGTGTCCACTTCCCAAAGATGACACTTTCTGCGACCCCGGGACCCCCGCCGCACCCATGCAGAGGTGGGGCCCAGAGGCTGGGGTCAGACTCCCGGCAGCTAACGAGGCTCCGACATCGGCCAGTGGCTGACCTCAGGCAGGTCCTGGGGCCTCTTGTCTCTGTAAGGTCACCTGAGCTGGGGGGAGCATCAGCTCCTGCCTGGCGGGATGCACACCTGCACGTGGGTCCCGGAACAGGTGGCTGGCACTCGAAGAGACGTGATCAAGATGACGAGGGTGGTTGTTGCTCGGCTATTAGTAATGGTTATTGTCAGCAGCGTGGTTCCTCCCCAGGCAGAAGCAAACGGCTTGAACTGTGGCCCGACCTGGGGTCAGCAAACCCCGTCTGTGGACCAAAACGCCGGGGAGGGGAGAGTCTGAGATATATTGTTAGCTAATTGTGGGGTCCTTTCCCCTGAGCTGTCCTTGGAAGGAGCACTTTCCCGTGTGTCATCTACCCTCTCGCGTGACAGCTCCACGGGGCGGGGACAGAGGCTCAGAGGGGCTGGCCAAGGAATGGCCTCCTGGCCCCCAGACCTCAGTCCCTCCCCCGTCATGCGCAGGGTCAAGGAAGACTGCCTGTGGTTGCTTAGGAGCCGCTGATCCCCCAATCTGATTCTGATCCTGAACTCAGAGCCCAAAAAACATCGTGATTAATTTCCAGGACTGAAAAGTAAATTTCAGAAAATAAAACCTATCAGAGTGTCCAGAGGCACATCCATACATTTTCCAACAGAAGCCACGGACGATCGAAGGCATGGTGCTGGCGTGTCCCCAGTGGGGTTCCGTGGGAGCCCCTCCCTGGCGCCCACCCAGCCCCTGAAGCCCTGCCTGTTCCGAGGCACAGCCATGTCCCGGCCAGACAGGGGCTCCCGGGCCAACTCTCAAGGCTCTGCTAATGACAGCGACGGGTCCCCCAGGTCCAGGTCGGGGAGGGCGCCGCCTCCCAGTGAGATGCCCCCACCAATGCAGGGGCCACGGGCCAGCGGGGAGAGGGGTGTCCTGCACCCCGAGGGGCAGCTAGAGGAGGGTCAGGTCCTCCAGCCCAAAGTGTGGGTAGGCTCTCTTGGAACAGAAAGAGAAGGGCGGCCTCAGGTCATGGCGTGCCCCACGTGGCGTGGGTGCCTGGAGACCCACGGGGCCTGGGTGTGGGCAGGCTGTCCCCCTTGGTCTTCTCTGGATCCTGGTTGGGCTTCACTGTTCTCACCCTAATCCTCCTCTATGCTAATGTGACGTTCCCCTGGGAGCCCTGCGGATTTCGGCCTCCGAGCTGGGTTTGTGCTAGATGAAATCCTCCCTGTCCCTCGGGACGGGGCTACATTTGAATTCTGGATTACCATCTAGGCGAGACACTCTGTTCCAATGATCTTAAAATTCCTTCTTTCCCAAATATCTGCCTTTGCCTCCCATGAGGCATGGAAGAGGCTTTCCCTGTGCCTGAAAATCTGAAAAAATTAAATTAAAAACTCATTATGGCCAGGGGAAAGTTAATAAGAAAATCCTAAGCCAGATTTATCAGCTTAAGGCCCTTCTTTGTGAACCTTTATTAAACTCGCATGAATTAAAATAGACTCTTGGAACAAACTTCACCAGGATCTGCAAGGAATCGGACTCGGGGACACACAGGTCTCCCGTGTGCTGTGCAGTCGGGGAAGGAGCCCCCACTCCGGAGCAGGCCAGAGCAAAGCAGCTGGAGGGGCCGCCAGGCCAGTGTGGGGTCCCGCGGAGGCCCAGCTGAGACTCGGTTCTCAGGCGGCAACACCAGGACCCACCCTGGTCGTCTGACCCGAGGGAAGCTGCCAGAGGATGTGAGTGTTCGTGAAACCCGAGGGCCAGGTGTGTCGGGCCTGTCGCCAGCACCAGGCGTAAGGATCTCGCGCTGCTCAGTGGGACCGTGTTGGAGGCCTGCTCTCCCAGACAGCACTGGTCCCACCGGGCGAGATCCCACTTGGGATAAATTTACAACTTCTCCTGTTAACAAGGTGATGGCATCGGGGTCGGAGGCTTGTGCGTGCCAGGGGACAGACGGGGGCCATCTGTGTGCACCTGGGCGGCGGGCTGTGGGGTTTCCAGCGGAACGTGGAGGCCGGGAGTCCAGGAGGCTGATGCAGGAGCCTCCGAAGTTCAGGTGAAGGCCTGCGCTCTGGCCTGGGGTTGAAAGGAGCCCTTCCCTCCCTGGAGGCAGCCGGCCTTGGGGGGGGGGGGGGGGCTTGCGATTCTTCTATCGCTCTTACCGTCGCTGGTCTGCACATCCGCTCACTCATCCATTCGCCCCCGTCTGCGTCATCCGCACACATTTGCCACCAGCCTGGGGCCCCAGATCCCCCGTGCCTCGCTCACAGTGGGCACATCGAGCACGCACCGGTCGTTTGGGTGAGTCTGCACCCCACCTCTCCTCTTTCTCACGCAAAGTGACTCTGGGAACAGAAGCTGCTGGGCCTCAGTGTCCCCATCCATCCGTGGACGGTCAGCCCGGCAGACTGCTATCACTTGGACACACGTGCCGGAGGGGCCGTCCTTCACTGTCGCCCAGCAAGACAGGACAGGCTGGGCTGCTGTGCTCTGACCTCAAGCCAGAGAAGGACAGAGCCACCAGCCCCAATGTCGCTGATGCCCACAGCCACCGAGGGCCACCCTCGGCCTTCCGGCTCCCTGTTCTGGGAATTCAAGCCCCCGTGTTCAAGCCACTGCGGCCCAGTTTTCTGTGCATTGCACCCCAGAACCCCCTCCCCAACCACCAGCTGAGGCTTGAATTTGTAAGTGCTCAGAGCAGAAAACCATCGCAACCATCGAGGCCCAGACATGGGCTCGAAGCGCCCAGTCTCTCCAGGAGGTACCAAGCTCCCGATGGAGAGAGCCAGAAGCCGGGATGCCGCACCCATCAGCTGGCATCCAGAGCAGGTCCCACTGCCCACCCCTGTCTCGCCCAGGAGGAGAGGGTCGCCTGAGAGCCAGCCCAGCCAGCGAGTGCTGCACGGGGCCCTCGTAGGACACATACAAGGGCTCTGGGCTGACGTGTGTGGGGGCCTGGCCCCTGGGCTGCAGGCAGCACTGGATGTGAGAGACCCCGGATGGTGGCTACGGACTCGGAGCCATAGGAACTCCACCAGGCTTTGTGACACTCACTCAGGGGCGGAGAGTTGGTTCTGGAGCAGACAAGGCCCAGCCTGGTGCCCCGGGTGCATAGGAGGGCTGTCCTCTGGCATGGAGCGGCCCCATGTCTGTCCTGGGGCATGCACAGGCATATCTGGGCTGCAGGCCCCGCGCGGGCATGAGGCAGGGTGGCTGTCCTGGGTGTGGCCAGAGGGAATGTGCCATGGCAGGTGCTGGAAACAGGGAGCCACGTGAGGCTTGGGCGCCACCTCCCACTGACCTCAGGCAGGTGTCAGGGGTGTGGGGGGGCAGCCAGCAGGATGAGGCTCAGAGCCAAGCTGCCTGGGACAACGACCAAGCCCGTGTCTGGACTCCTTCGTCCCCATCCCGTGACCCCACCGCCGTGACTGGGGGCCGGATCCTTAGAGCTGACACTCTGGGCGCCCCTTTGTGGGCCCCAGGGTCTCCTAACCTCTACTGCTTCATCTGTAAGATGGGGATGAGGGCAGGGCTATCCTGAGGAACCGGAGAAGTAACGCCCGGGTGGTGCCTGGTGCAGCGCCCACACGTGGAGGCCACTGTCGGGCCACACCGCCGTGACCCCAGCCAGACACCCTAGATCTCTGTCCCAGCTCCGTCCCCAGGTTTGTAGCTCGAAACCACGCTGCCTGCTGACGGGGCTGGCCACACAAACTGCAGGACCCAGTGCAAAATAACAGAACGGGCCCCTAGTTCACGAACTATTAAGAATTTCAAGGGGCACCTGGGTGGCTCAGTCTTTGGGCGTCTGCCTTCGGCTCAGGTGATGATCCCAGGGATCGGGCCCCACATCGGGCTCCCTGCTTGGCGGGAAGCCTGCTTCTCTCCCTCTCCCACTCCCCCTGCTTGTGTTCCCTCTCTCGCTGTGTCTATGTCAAATAAATAAATAAAATCTTAAAAAAAAAAAAAAGAATTTCAAGACAGTGAGAGCGTTTGACCAAACTCAGGGCCCTTCCGCACAGGGCCACAGCTTCACAGGCCACATGCCCATGGGGCCAGCCCTGAGCAGTGATTTCACTCGGTAGGGGCGCTCAGATTCCTACCAGCACCCCAACACCCATACGCACACACACACACCGCCTTTCCCTGCACACAACCGTCTCGGCCCCGTGAACCACCCCCACCGATAGGAGGGGCTTGCAGCCCCTACGGTGCTCAGCAGGAGAAAAGGCTCCGTGGTCGGTCATCACACATCTGTAGCCACGGACCCCAAGCCCCGAGCCGATGGTGGGACTGCTGGGATGGCAGGACCCCAGTCAGGATCGTCTGGGGGAAGCCCCCCACTGCTGTCTAGCTCCTGTCCTACAAACCTTAGAGTCTCTCGGGCATCCCCGCTGTTGCACGGGGCTCCAGGGCACGATGGAAAGGCCTGGGGGGTTTAGGAGGGAGGCCGGTGGGCACATGTGTGCGTGTGCAGGTGAGGCTGGGTCTAGAGCTGGGTGGTGGGTACAGCTGGAGGAACCAGAGCCCTCTGAAGATGCCACCGTGCCCGTGGAATGGGCGTGGGGTCCCCGTGTGTGGGAGAAGCTGGAGGCAGAGGGCACCCCCCAAGGGGTTGGTAGAGAGTCTCTTCCAACCTCTCCAGGCTTCCGCACGGGTTCAGAACATTGTCTTTCCTTATGCTCTGCAGTACGCCGGGGAGGTCCCCGAAAACCAGGTGGAGGTGGTGGTCGCAAACCTCACTGTCATGGACCGAGATCAGCCCCATTCGCCCAACTGGAATGCCTTCTACCGCATCCTCAGCGGGGACCCCTCAGGACACTTCAGCATCCGCACGGACCCCGTCACCAATGAGGGCATGGTCACCGTGGTGAAGGTGGGTACTCTCCTGGCTTCCTGCTGGCCGGTGTGGGTTCTGTCCCCCGCCACCACCCTGGGACAGATGAACAGAAGTGATACGGGGTTATCCGGGGACAAGGGACTGCACGCCCCTGCTCGTGCCAGAGGCAGGCTTCACGAGGACCTGGTTTTCTCTGAACTCTCCACTTAAAGTCTGTTTAAGGCAAGATGCTTCATCTTAGAAAGCATTTTCAGGTTATTTTTGCATCCTTTGGCAGAGACACTGCGCTTTCAGACATTCTCTTGCAGAGGGGTGGCCGGGAGGGGGTGTGGGGGGTGCGAGGCAGTGGGGGGAGTCTGCTCCCGGCGGGGGGGATATGTTCTTGGATTCCCGGGCTGGCTCTTCGCTCACTTACCCTGGCGCGGGCCTGTCGCCCTTGGTGCCCCAGACGAGGGCCCTGTGCCCGGGGCTGTCGCCAGATCTCAGCGGGTCCTGCCTGTAGATCTGGCCCAGCGCCGGGCACATGGCTAACAGAAGCAGCTGTGCCGTCACTGAACACAGTCACGTCAACAGGGAACAGCCGGGCTCCCGCGCGCTCCCCAGGGCACAAGGAAGGTCACTTCAGTCCCGCCAGGGTCCCCAGGGCCCCCAGAGGAATCGGGCCGCGTGCTGTGTCCATGCACTGCGGCCCAGACCATCACTGCCCCAGCCTGTAGGAGGTGACAGTCTGTGGCAGGGATGAGGAGAGGGAGCTTCTGGGACGTTCTCAGGCAGGTACGCGCCAGAGGCCACACACCCACTGGTGAGCCCTCCCGTCTGTCCAACAGCCTGCTGGTGTTTCGGCCTCTGTGCCCCCAGGTGGTGGGACTCCTGGACCGGGACCTCGCTGCTTTGGGGGCGGGCGAGGTGCCGTGTAGACATGTGTGTGGTCAGCCCGGCCCTCAGCCATCTCGCACACATCCTGGCTGCACGCCTGTCAAAGGAAGTGCCCAGTCGCCTGGGGCGGGTCTTCCTGACCCCTGCCCTGCCCCCCGCGCCCCCCAGCTCCATCCTGCCCCGCATGCCAGGCCTGCCACCTCCCAGGCTGCAGCCGAGCTGGGGCACAGCTGCTCTGCCCTCAGACCACCAGCCCCAGTGGGCGTCCATCACCGTGCCCAGCCTCCTCGGGAGCGCCCTCTGCCTCGCCACCCGCCCCCGCCACCTCCAGCCATGAAACCACCGTCTCTTCCAGGCTCAGACCATCCCCAGGCCCTTCTCCTGCCTCGCGCCTGGACCTCAGCTTCTGAGGCAGAAAAGCCAAGAAGCCGCCTCTCCCGCTTGCCCCTCGGCAGCACTGCGGCTTGGGGGGCAGTGAGCAACCCTGGCCCAGGGGCCGAGGCCGGGGCGGGGCTGGCGGGAGTCCCAGGGGAGCGGGCGCCGCCCTCCAGCCCCTGCAGTCCTGCAGGGACCAGCTCCTGGGGCAGCAGCGCATGGAAGCGAATGCCCCCAATCCTCCCGCCGGCCCTGGAGCGGGGCCCCAGCCCTGCCCCACGCCACCTGCACTGGTGGCGGGTGGCTTCTCCTGAGGCCGCAGACCCTGCCCCTCGCCTTTTAGCGGAGCATCCTTGCCCCGTCTGGGGAGGCAGCCGGGCCGAGCCCCAGCAGTGTACCCGGCCGCTCTAATTAAAACTGGGGGGCCAAATTACCTATCGATTTCTCCATTACAAAAATGTTTTATTTCACCCTCCTGTGGACGTTTATTGGCCATAATAGTCTTTCTGGAAGGCATTCTCCCTCAGACAGGTGACACAATCTTAATGTACGACATGCGGCGTTATTCCGTGTCCCCCGGGGACAAGAACCAATAAATGGGGAGAAAGATTACTTCCTTTTGGTGGTTTATTCAGAGACAAAACCACAATTTTATTAAACTGTCCATTTAAATGGAGGAGCCCCGTCCCCAGACGACTCTCTGAGGGTCCGGGGGGAGGGTCTGGAGGCATTGGCTTGGTTTTGAGGGGACCTGGACACAGCGTGGGTGCAGGGGCTGCTGTGGGGGCATCCAGAGTCCAGGATGCACCTGCCGGAGGGCTCACCGGTCTGCGGCCTGAAGTCCTGGGCAGTATCTTTCAGACAAGGGCTGCCAAGTTATTCTGCACTGGGCACCTCATCAGACTGGCGGCCTGCCTGGGCGCCATCTGTGGGCACAAGGCCCTCCCACACACACGTACCTGAGCAGCACCCAGCCTCATGTGAGGTGATGGGCAATGGGGGTGGACAAGGGAGCCGTCGCACCATCCCCATCCTCGCCTAGGCTGACCCCTACCCACACCGCGCTAAGATACAAGGTGCCATCAGGGGCGGGGGAAGACATCAGCCATGACAAGGCGTGAGCCACAGAGGGACATGGCATCTCACGGCCAGGCTCCAGGGGGCCTGCAGGAACCACCCCTTCCTTGGGCAGACAAGGAGATCACGCCTGAAGAGGACGATGGGGGTCAGCCCAGAACCCCGATCTCCGGAGGGCATTGGCCTCCAGAGCCTTCTGTCGGGCTGGCCTCGGGCTTCCGTGAACCCCCGGGCCCATCCCCCTGCTATTATTTACTTAGTTTTTAAAGTCCTTCTTTTCATACTTAATGCCACATCTGTAGCCGTAGCTGAGAAGGCAAGGGTTCGATGCACCAGCTGTAAGATTTTTAATGCTGACCCAAGTCAAACGCTGAGGTGCTGGGGGACCCAGCGGGGGCTGGGGTTCGGGTCAGTCCGGAGAGGCACCGCCGGCCGCGAGCACAGCTTCCTGACCCAGCAGATCAGCTCCTCTCTAAGCAGAAACACGCGCTGTTCTGTCCATCGTGAGCATCTCCGGGTGCCCAGAAGACAGACGGCAGTGGTCTCGTCCGCACTGTAGTCTGACGTGGTAGCTTATTCCAGACCGTCTCATCTCTGTTTCTTGCTGAAAGAGGTTTTTAACTCCCAGACCTCAAGACCGTCCATCTCTATGTAAGTCAGGATGCGTCACCCTCAGAAATACGTTTTGCCTCTGCCCTTCGTATCCGCCGGTGCAAGTCTGTGCTCGGTGTCCCTTAATTTTCCTCAAAGTGTCTTTTTGCTGTGGTTTTTCAGATCTGGATCTGGACAGGGTCCCTGCATGCAGTTGGTTGCAACATCTCTTGACCCTCTCATAATCTAGAACATCCCACCCACCTTTGACCTGTCACAGACACCGGGTCAGTTGGCCTGTGGGAGGTCGCATGTGCCAAACTGTCCAATCACTTCCTCATGGCGAATCTTGTTCCTCGCTCTCCCACGTTTCCGGTAACCTGGGATTAGGCCGGCAGGGGCCGTCCATGGGAAAGGGCCTTGTGCCTGGGGCTGAGTCACATCAGGAGGCCCGTGGTGCCCGGCTGTCCCACTCCAGTCATCTAGGCCTGACCGGTGGGCTCAGGTGGTGACAGCCCATTCCCGTCACTGCAGAGTTGACTTCTCCCCCCTTATGACCAGCCAGTGGTCCGCACGTGATGCTTCGCACCTGCAAATATGCACGCCTCCATCAGTCTCCATCGGCTGGTTCTATCATCTACTCGTGATCCTTGTTCACGGAAATGTCTTCATTAGTGAGTACAGAATGGTGCTTTTGAAGTTCTGTCATTCCTTGGCTGGAATTATTCAGTACGAATGAGCTTCCCCTCACCAACAAGAGCTCCGCAGGACACGGAAATGTGGGTCTGCTGTGGTCAGCACCGCGGCCCCCCAGACATGCCCAGGCCCTGGGCCTGGGACCCACGCGTGTGCGGCACATGCTGGGCAAATGTGAGTCAGTTAAGCGTTCTGAGATAGGAGGTTACCCCGGGAGATCCAGGGGGCCCCTGGGCTCACAGCGTGATTGGGAGAGGGAGGCAGGAGGTCAGAGTCCCAGGCGCCCTGGGAAGAAGCAGAGGTCCCAGAGGGACTGCAAGGGGCCACGTGGCTGCTCTGTAGGTGGAGGACGTGGCCTCTCAGAGCTGCAAGGGGCAAGGCTCCAGGGGGACCCAGCCCTGCCCACACCCTGACTGCAGCCCAGGGACACTGATTTTTGACCTCTGACCTCCAGAACTGTAAGACGACAAATCTGTGTTGCCCTAAGCCACTAAATCGGAACAGGAAACTAATACAGAGTCCAGCAGAAAAAGCAGATGAAAGCTTCATTCGCTGCCTTTTATCATCCAGACCAGCAGCTGTCTGAGGTCTCTCTCTGTTTACGGCGGCGGCTGTTACAACTCCCATCAAGCTGGGTGTCCACACGACACGCGGTCTTCTCACACTTCTGCAAGTCAGAAGTCCAAAATCCGTTTCAACAGGCCGAAACCAAAGAGCCGGGAAGGCTGTGCTCCCCCCAGGGGCTCTGGTGGCTCCACGTGCTGGCTCTTGCCAGGTTGGCAGGCCACGCCCCGACTCCGTGGCCCTCCTCCGTCCTCAGAGCCAGGGCCGTCTTTGCCTCAGCCCCTACGCTGCCTGCTGCCGTGCCAACCTCCTAAACACCCTCGGATGCTATTTCGGGCCACCTGGGTAATCCCGGGCCAGCTCCCATTGCAAGACCCCCAACTTCATCAGCCCACAAAGTCCCTGTGCCATGGAGGGCGACACAGTCACAGATTCCAGACCTTTGGACCCGGATGTCTTTGGAGGCCATTAATCATCCCACCACAGCCATAAGCAGAGTCGTGTGTGTGTGTGCTTGCATTTTCTCATGGCTGGCAAGACGCACGCGTTTGTGTGTACTCAGTGTGCTTTGGTCAGCTGCAGTCATGACTGGTTTTGGCCCCCGGCGAGCAGGAGCCTCCTCTGGCTGGTTCCTGGGTCCTTCCGCCGCGAGCCGTTTCCGTGCACCGTGGCCCAAGCAGTTCATCTCGTGGGCTGCCTGCCTCCCCTCGGGTCGGCCATCTCTCCAGTGAGGCCTGGTCCTTGGACACCAGCATCCAGGCCCCGGAGGGCTCGCTCCTGCTCGCTGCTCTCACTCCTGGGGGCCCGGGGGCAGAGCAAGGACACCACGCTTCAGCGCACGTGCCCACCCCGACTCCATTTCTTTCACCGATCCAAAGGGTCGTTTTATTCAGATTTAACACCGGAGGATTTCTACTTCACTTTGCTGACTTCATACTTGTATCTCGTTTCTCTTACACCGAAAATCTTATTTCCTAACCACATTATTACACGTGTTTATTTACTTTACCCTGAGATATACATAAAAAGCTTTAAAAAATAACAAACCCCAGATCACTACCAACAGGGAGAAGACCAAGTGAGCTTAAGATTTCTTTGCAATGATTATTGTCCCTAAAATAAATCCCACCAAGAACTACCATCTAAATATTGCCCTGGTCTCCTGAACTCATTCTTTTCTTGAGAGTCATGTTACCCGTTGATATATAGTCTCCCTTTACTTCGGTTTGCTTGCAATTTTCAGAGATCGCTTTACATATTTAATTTCCTCTATAATGACTAAAGCGTGACGGTAGTAGACCGAGCTCCATGACGGTAAGCTCGCACAACCTCGAGCCCCAGCCCTTCCCTCCACCCCGCTCACCCCTCTGCTTACAGGCCACCATCTTTATGCGTTTTCCGGTTCACTCTTGCGGTCTTCCTTCCTGCAAATACGAACAAATACAAATTCAAATTCCTCTCCCTCCTTTACACGGAAGGCAGCCCGCTGTGTATCTACTTCTGCTCTCCGTCCGATCTCCTCGCTCCTGCTTACGGCTGCAGACCTCCCCATCCCGCCACCAGCCCACGGCCTCCAGGGTGCGTCCTCTGTGAGGACACAGAGACCTGCTGGGAGCTGTCCTGTGCATACGTCACCTTGCACCCGTCTGGGCGGACGTGTGTAAATGTTGTTGCAGAGTGTCGCGTCGGGTGGTTTCCCCGAGACTGTCCCGGCCTGCTCCTGGAGTCGCTACGTGTGTTACATGTCTCGGCCCCAAGTGCCTCCTTGCAACTTCCCTCCCTCCCCAAAATGTGGGGAGCTCCCCAGACCATAGAACCCTTCTGAAAGCATTTGTCAGGCGGGGTCCTGGGGCCCCAAAGGGTGTAACCGGGAACCACGCTCATGCAGGAACCCCGTGCAGAGGGTAGAGAACCCACAGAGCTGGTGTGTGAGTGTCCTGGAGCTGCTGTAAAAATTACCAAAAACTGGAGGGATTAGAACAACAGAAGAGACCACCCGCTGCACCCAGCAAGGGGCCCCAGACAAACAGCAGTGGGGGCCTTGACCTCGCCAGCCTGGAGGGAGCAGCACCTGCTGAGAGCTGGCGCCGGGGAGGGGTGCCGCTGCCGGGGCCGGAGCCCCAGGGGCCCAGCTACTGCCACACCAGGGCGTGGTGGGAAGGCCCAGTGGGGGTCCTTTACCCCAAACTCTCTCCTCCCATTGTCAAACCCCTGGGAAGCCAGAGACAAGGGAGTTCTGGAGACAGCTTCCCTTGGGACCAGCGTCCTGGGCACAAAGCCGGGCAAGAGGAACAGGTGCGGACCCACCGGGCCTCCCGCCTCCAAGCCAGCCCGCAGGCCCCTGCATCAGCTCACCCCCGCGGGACTCTCTCGTTCCAGGCAGTCGACTACGAGCTGAACAGGGCGTTCATGCTGACTGTGATGGTCTCCAACCAGGCGCCCCTGGCCAGCGGGATCCAGATGTCCTTCCAGTCCACGGCAGGGGTGACCATCTCCGTCATGGACATCAACGAGGCGCCCTACTTCCCCTCGAACCACAAGCTGATCCGCCTGGAGGAAGGTGTGCCCACCGGCACCGCGCTGACCACGTTTTCGGCAGTGGACCCTGACCGGTTCATGCAGCAGGCCGTGAGGTGGGTCCGCCCTCGGGCCTCAGAAAAGGGATCCCACCCGTGGGCTCCCTTGCTTTCCATACAGCGGAGTGCCGTCATGCCCAGTAAACCTGCACCCCAGGAAGTCCCCGGCCTGTGCTGTCCCTCCAGGCAGGGCACCACAGGAGCCGCCGGGGGACAGGGGGGCCCAGCCAGCCCACGAGATCCAGGCGGTCAGTGCGACGCCACAGGAGCTCAGCAAACCGCGCGGTCGCCGTGCACCCCCCCCCCCCAGGGCGGCAGGCCTTCCAGCACCCGCGGCGCTCTCCTGAGTCAGGCGGGTTCGGAGCTGGCTTGTCACTTACCCCTCTCTGTTCCTCAGTCTCCCCGTCTGGAAAGAGGGGGCGAGGACAGCACCTGCCTCCCGGGGTCCTCGTGAGGATCGGGAACGCGACCGCCGTGGCGACCGTGAGGCGCGCCGAGGGCGGAGCGTGCGGGCTGCAGGGACAGCGCCCCCGTGTCGGGCGGGCACCCTGCAGAGGGTGGGGCTGGGGGGCTCAGGGCCGCTCTCCCCTTCACCACCTCACCTCCCTTCTCCTCAGGTACTCCAAGCTGTCAGACCCAGCGAACTGGCTGCACATTAACGCCACCAACGGTCAGATCACCACGGCCGCCGTCCTCGACCGCGAGTCCCTCTACATCAGAAACAACGTCTATGAGGCCACCTTCCTGGCGGCTGACAACGGTGCGCCCCGCTCCGGGGGCAGGCCCGTGCCGGGGGCTCTGTGGCGGGGAGATGGAGGGAGGCCCCAGCCGGAAAAGCCAGAGGAGGGAAGCGGGGAGGCAGGGGCGGCGCCAGGTGTCCTGTGCAGAGCCTTGGGGGTCCCTCAGCGTCCCCAGGCAGCCCCCTCTCTGCACGCATTCGGAGCAAGGGCCGCTGCCTGACCACCCGGCTCATGGGTCTGCACAAACTCGCACCCCTTCGCTCATGCATGGCGCTCCCTCGTGGACACCACGGGAGCTAGGATGGCCGAGGCGGGCCCAGGTTTGTCCAGTCCTGTCTCGGCTGAACGTGACCCGAGCAGCTTCTCAGCTCCCCACCTGGTGAACTGAGGGCGGCTGAACTCCATCCACGTGTAAGCCGAGCAGCCCCATCATGCTGACCATGCACCAGACTGGGGGGGGGCTCCCCCTAAGCAGCCCCGGGATGCCGCCCCCTGTGGCTCTGACCACCTGTGATCCGGACCCCTGCAGCCCTCCGTCAGAGCAGGGGTGCCTTGGGGAGGGGCCTCAGAGACAGGGCAAGCACCGTGAGAGGCCACACACCAGCAGCATGAGCCCTGGGAGCTCCGAGGGGGTGACGGTGAGGCTTCCGAGCCAGAATGAGGAGCCCCGAGGACCCTGGGGTAGCGGGGTTGAAGGTGAACCGGGCAGGGGTGAGGGGCTGCTGGGCAGAGGCGGCAGCAGAGGGGCCCACATGGGGCAGGAAGAAGGTTCATGAGCACTGGGGCCTTCCAAGGGATGTGGATAGCATCTCCAGAGTTGGGGGCTGGGACTCCAGGCCCCGAGGTCGCCCCTCCCTGGACCCAGGGCACCCAGGAGCTGGCGAGGCCCACAGCCCCAGGTACCCAGCCAACCCTGCACAGGAGGGCAGAGGGAATGAAGGAGAAGACTTAGAACCAGGGATCAGTCCCAGCACCACTTTAGTGGTGGGAAGAGACTGACTGCTCCGTGCCTCGGTTTCCTCCTCTGTAGCGTGGAGACAGCCCTACCCCCTACCCGGAGCTGTGACGATTAAGTCAGCCAGTGTCCTCGAACGCACAGGGAGGGGGTCTGGCCCGAGCCGGCACGCTGCCACCGCTCTCATCACCCCGGGGCTCCTGCCCCACACTGGGTGCTACTCAGCAGCAGACAGACCAGACCAAAGTCCTTCCCTTGCAAGGCTGATGTGCCCAAGGTCTGTGTGTCAGCTGAAACCAGGTTCAGCCGTGTAATGGCGATAGAAATTTCAACACGACTGAGGTTTCTTTTCTCCCACATAAAAGAAGACTGGAGGCAGGCAGCCCTGGGGTACTGGGGTCAGGTTTGAGAAACCAGGCTCACTCTGGTCATGAGCTACAGCATGGTCCGGAATGTCTGCTGGTGCTCCAGCCATCGTGACCACGTTCTGGCAAACGGGAGGAAGAGCAAGGAAGGCAGGGACACATTCCTGCCCTTCTAAGAACTTCCACCCTCAGCTCACGAAGGCCAGAACTTAGCGATGAAGCCACATTTCACTGTGAGGGATGTTGAGAAATGTAGTCTAACAGCTGGGCAGTGATGACCCCAGATAAAATCTGGGGCTCCGGTTCTTCTATTAAGGACAAAAGGGGAAATGGATATTGAGGGACAACTCAGCAGTCTCTTGCCCCAGTGAGATGAATGAGAAACAAGTCAACGAGATAACTTCGGGGAGTATGTTCTGGAAGAAAACACAACAGGGCATGGGAGGGAGGGGCCAGGGCTTGTAGCTGTGCTCCTGGCCGTGAGGCGCCGACTGTGGGACCAGAGGGAACAAGCCAGGGGAAGAAGGGGCAGCAGAGGAGTCCCAGAGTTAGGAAGCAGCATGTGCAAAGGCCCAGAGGTAGACCCCTGGTGGTCTGTATGGTGGGTTCTCGGACAGCAGTGCAGCTCAGGCTCCAGGAGCTAGAGGAGCCCTTGCACAAAGGCTCACTCGATAGCAAGTGAAAGCCGGGGTAACCACCCGCCAGACTGTGAGTGTGTGTGTGTGGGTGCACACACGCACACTCGCAGCCATGGGGCTGGGGGTGGCTGCATGTCTGTGTGGTCCTGTGCTCGGTCCACGTGGTGTACAGTTGAGTTGCTCTGTATGTCGTACAGTGGGGGTTGGCGCAGGCTGGGGCTATGGTCGGGGCTGTGGGTCTGTCCTGCACGGACTCGTCGTCTGTCCTGTGTGGGTCTGGGGGCTGTCCCTGGGCAGGACGGTGGGGCTGGGGGTGGGTCCCATGTGCATCATCGTGTGCCTGGGGTCATGGTGGAGCAGCCCTGTGGGGTCACCCTGTGTCTGTCCCGCAGGGATCCCCCCGGCCAGCGGCACCGGGACCCTCCAGATCTACCTAATTGACATCAACGACAACGCCCCCGAGCTGCTGCCCAAGGAGGCACAGATCTGCGAGAAGCCCAGCCTGAACGCCATCAACATCACAGCGGCCGATGCCGACGTTGACCCCAACATCGGCCCCTACGTCTTCGAGCTGCCCTTCGTCCCAGCCACTGTGCGGAAGAACTGGACCATCACCCGCTTAAACGGTGAGCCCTCCTCAGTCTCCAGGAGAATCGGACACGTCTGGGGTTCTGCACCTCAAGGGGGCCCATGGAAGAGTGAGCAGTGGGGATGGGGCTCTTCCCCCCATGGGGGCCCCCTGAGGCTGGGGCCCCTGGCCGTGCCCCAGTCCATCCCCAGAGGGGGCCGTGAAGGCAGTCCCAGTCCCGCTGTTGTAACGAGCACAGCTGTCAACATCCTACAGCCCCAGCTGCTCACATCTCTGACTGCTTCCTATTGATGGGACCACGGATGGATGGGACCCTGATCAATCTATTTCCTCGGGGTACTTCCCTAGATGTGCACTTGTTGTATAAAAGGGCATCCAAGTCCTGAAGTTTTCTAGCACTCTGAGGATGTGCCTGGAAAGGTCATGCCAAGACCTACAAAAGAGCACCTGTTACCCAAGCCCTCACCAACACCCAATATCATTGTTTTCCCAAGGTTTTAGCCAAAATCATTGTTTCCTTTTGCATCTCTTAACTACCACGCACTTTTTTCATTTATTTATTGGCCATTTGCTGTTTCTCCCACGAATTGTCTATTCAATGTCCTTGCCTATTTTTCTTTGAGGTTTTTTTCTAATTGATTTGGTAGAAATTCTTTATATATTAAGGAAGTGATTTCTTCATCCAACAAGTTGCAATTGCTCTTCTCTTGAACTGCCAATGTGTTTTCACTCTGTGGAGTGATCTAGCGTGGGCGCGCGTGTGGGTGTGCGCGAACCAAGCGGGTGTTTCAGACGGTCGTGCTCTAGACTCCGTCCTCCCTCCGAAGTCTTGCTGAAACGCAGGGCTGGCTGTGGACTGAACGAAGCCTGTCCTGTCACTCTGTGCCAGGTGACTACGCCCAGCTGAGCCTGCGCATCCTGTACCTGGAGGCTGGCGTGTACGACGTCCCCATCATCGTCACCGACTCCGGGAACCCCCCGCTGTCCAACACGTCCATCATCAAGGTCAAGGTGTGCCCGTGCGATGAGAATGGGGACTGTACCACCATCGGCGCGGTGGCCGCGGCCGGTCTGGGCACCAGCGCCATCGTGGCCATCCTCATCTGCATCGTCATCCTGCTCAGTGAGTATGGCGGAGCCACGCATGCACGCCGGGCCCCCCCCACGCGCGAGCGCACCCTGCTCATGGCGTGGCCCCCGCCCCCACAGCCATGGTCCTGCTGTTCGTCGTGTGGATGAAGCGCAGGGAGAAGGAGCGCCACACCAAGCAGCTGCTCATCGACCCCGAGGACGATGTGCGTGACAACATCCTCAAGTACGACGAGGAAGGGGGCGGTGAGGAGGACCAGGTGAGGCCCTCTGCACCAGCTTCCGGGGCGTGGGACCCCCCTCCCACCCGCTCTCTCCCGGCGGCCCAGGACCCCAGCCCGGTGCCTGCGCCCACACGGGGGGCTGTCAGGTGACCAGGAGGCCGTGCACGGGGCGCCCGGGAAGGGGAATCCAGGGAGCTGCCTGGCTGGATGCCGGGTCTGCGTTGGCCGTCAGGGCACTAAGGCTTGGTGCCCCCTTAAAGCATGGTAACAGGAGCCCCAGCTGTTGCCCCAGGCTGCTGCCAGGAATACACGAGGCACGGGAGCTGCAGGGGGGGCCCCCGGGGAGCATCAGCCTGGCGAGGGCAGCCTGGGGGGCACAGACGGGGACGGATTAGGGGAGCGGGCACTAGGGGGAGGGCGGGCGTGCTCGGCCGCGACAGGACGCGCCTGCCTCCCTCCTCCCCCGGCCCCTCCCCAGGACTACGACCTCAGCCAACTGCAGCAGCCGGAGGCCATGGAGCACGTGCTGAGCAAGGCCCCCGGCGTGCGGCGGGTAGACGAGCGGCCCGTGGGCGCCGAGCCCCAGTACCCCATCAGGCCTGTGGTGCCCCACCCGGGAGACATCGGGGACTTCATCAACGAGGTGGGTGCTCGGGCACGGGAGAGGCCCCTGAGCAGGGCCCCTCCGCGGAGAATAACGTCCCGTTGCCACCCCACGCTGGGGCGGCCAGGCTGCGGTGAGGAGGCCCAGCCAGACCGGGGCTGGGGGCCGATGCGGTGTGGTCACGCGCCCAGAGACGCCGCCGGCCCCCGGCCCCGTAACCGCGGCGTCCTGTACGTTTTACCGCCTGCTCTCTAACACTGACGCGTTTCTAAGAGGGGCTGGCAACATATCCCTGCTATGTGAGAATCTAGCTTTAATTTACTTAAGCAGAATAGAGCCCAGGGAGCGGTTCAGGAGAGACGCAGAGAGACGCAGAGAGACTTAGAACGTTCCCTGAAACACATCCTGTCCGGGGCCACAGATCAAAGTTCTACAACTGCCCAAAAGCACTCACTCCCCAGGATGTAATAAAATTTTAAAACCCCAAGAAGTATGTCCTCCCCAACCTAGAATTTAAAGCCTATTTTAAATGATTCTTAAAGAAAAGCGAGCACGGAAACTACAAACCATTGCTATGGAGGGGCGGTGAGGGTGCCCCTTCCCAGGGCAGGCTTGGCAGTGAGGTGCGTCCTGCAGCCAGAGACCGCCGGGAGCGCCCAGGCCACCCCACGGGGACCGTCATGGTCACAGGGGACCGTGCTGGGCCACACGCACAGGCGTGTGGGAGGCCGCAGGACCCCTCCTTGGGCAGGTGCGGGCGGAAGGAGCAAGGGCGAGGCCACGCACGGGGGGCCTCCAGCAACACCTGCCACGTCCCCAGTTTTGTTCATAGGGATAGTGAACGTAACAACTGGAGATTTCTGACTTCTGCCCACCTCAGGTTCATATTCCGTGTCGCGGTGACAGGGGCTCAAGACACTTCTGGCCCCTCAGGAGGGGCTGCTCCTAGCCACAGGCCCCCACCCAGGCCTCTTGCCTCATGTTACTGGTGTGGCCATGCCAGCTTTGGAGTTTGCTACCTCCAACACACCACCCTTTTCATAACCCCCCCCTACTCGTTCTCTGAGAGGCCCCTCAGTTAAACACAGGGAGCACTTATTGACCACCTCCCGTACGCAAGGCCCACTAACTTCACCTTCCTGGCCTGCTTCCCCAACTCCTCTCCGGGGCGCCCGCCCAAGCCCCATTCCGTCAGGCCCCCAGGGCCGGACAGCACGTCCTCCACCCTAAGCCCGTGTCTCTGTGACCCCAGGGACTCCGCGCCGCCGACAACGACCCCACAGCACCCCCCTACGACTCCCTGCTGGTCTTCGACTACGAAGGGAGCGGCTCTACGGCGGGCTCCGTCAGCTCCCTGAACTCGTCCAGCTCCGGGGACCAAGACTACGATTACCTGAACGACTGGGGGCCCAGGTTCAAGAAGCTGGCAGATATGTACGGAGGGGGCGAGGAGGACTGAGCAGCGTCTCCTCCCCGGATGCCGGCGGAGCGGGACCGTGGGAGGCGCCGGGCTTCCCGACTCCCTGCGGACGTGTCATTTAGTGGTGTGTTAGGGGGTCCCTCCCCGCCCCAGCCCCCCCAACAGTGAGCTGTCTGGCATGAACACTTCTCGCCCCGCGGCGCGCCCCCCACCACAGGAGCTGACTAGCACTGAAGGACAGCGAGAGGCACTCTGTCTTAACTTGAATTTCTTAGAACAGAAGCACTGTTTTTAAAAAAAAAAAAAAAAAAGAAAAAGAAAGTGCCTTTTGGTACATGTATCAGATTCCCTCAAACTCAGGAGTGACGAAAAGCAAGCAGACAGACCACGTACATCCCCCCAACCCCAGTCCTGAGCACCCCCAGCCCCAGCTAGTCCCAGCTCTGAAGACACCAATTAAGGAGTCGGGGAGAATGTGTCTTTTTTTTTTTTTTTTTTGGTCTTTTATTAAGAAAAAAAGTGGGTGATTTGTTTAACAAAATTTACAAAGAAAAATGTTGGGGTCCAAATCCCAACAGCCCTTCTGAGTCCTCGACCTTTGCTGTACACTGTCGGGGTCTCCTGGGCCCTCGGGCGGCCCCGAGGCTGGAGGGAGGCCAGAGACCAGCCGCAGAAGGCTCCCTGGAGGCGGGCCCAACCCGTCTACCAAAGGCACCACGGTGCGCACTTGGCTTTCACCGAGTTTTGGGGCTGCTCCCTGACTCCTGATGCTGCATGTAGCTGGGGCGGGTGGGGTGCTAAGGGGGCTTTCTTGATGATCACCATCTCTGCCCTTGGTCGTCCCCCGGGCCCCCCCAGTCAACCATTAGGCCTCCCCCGGAGACAACTGTTACCCCAGATGCCACGCAGGTCCCGTTGCCTTTGGTCCAGAAAAGTACAGCGTCCCCAGAAGCCACAGCCCAAACCAGCCAGCATCCCCGAACACCCTGGCGTGAGCCCCCCACTCCTCACAGTCGGATCCCTGGAGGACCCCATCAAAGGCCCAGCCCCTGACAACCAGACGCTTCCAGCCACCCTGAGGGCTGTGCGGACAGCAGAGAGAGCTGGGAACGTGCACCACCATCACCAGCCGCTAGCATCCTCTCTCCCTGGCCCTACCGCCTGGACCAGAGTCTCTCATGCTCGTGAACCGACGGGGACCGCAAAGATCTGCTCCAAGTGGCCGGGACAGCCTGTCATTGTTGTGCCATCAGTCCCTCGGATGCGTCTGGACTGCACCCACCTGAAACAACAACCGGTCTCCTCTCCTCGGGACCCAGGCCAGCACCGAGCCGCTGCTCAGACTCTCAGAACGAGCTGCCCTTTGCTTGGACGGTCTGACGCGCAAGCCAGACGCCAGTCTGTTCCCAGGACAGTGAATGGCACTCACTGTGTCCCAGGGACCCTCCAGGGAGACCCTGCTGTGTGGGAGCACCCTGGTCTGTTCACGGGCTCCCCAAGAAAGGGGTTGAGGGGTACCCTGGCCCTGGGTGGGACTTGGCATTGGACTGCCCTTGGGGAAGCGGCTTAGAGCCCCATCCCAGAGCCCTGGGTCAGAAAAAGCCTCGAGAACCTGGGGAGGTGGGGAGGTGGGGAGGGCGGGGGCTCAGCTTGCTCTTCATGCTCTCGGCCTGAGGGTCTTTGATGCAATCCTCAGCCTAGGGCCTGTCCCCAAGGCTAAGGTGACCCTGTTTTCCAAACAGCTTTGGCCCAAGAGCGTACGTGAGGGTGTGTGCGTGCAGTAGGCACGGCTGTGTCCCCACTGGGTGTCAGGGTTCCTCCCCAGACCAAACTCCTCACTGACCCCGCTGCTCTCCCAGAGCTGAGCCGGGCCTGTGGCCTGATGGCCGGCCTGTAGCGGGCTCTGTCCCTGACCCCATCCCGACTGCCGGGGGAGGACGGGAAGGATGAAGGAGGTCCCCGTGTCACATGCTGGGTGCCCCTCCATGCAGACAGCCACCTCCAGTCAGGGGGAGGGTGGCCCGCCAAGGGGAAGAGGCCGGGACCCCTGTCCAAAGCCGTGCTATGCAGATGGCTCAGGGCCAGGCAAGGAGAGCTGTCCCCGCGTCTGGGGGCCTGGCCATTCCAGGGACTATTGGCAGGGTGAGGGCTGGTGGGATGCGAGCGGGAATCTTCTGTGTTTTGTTTGTGTTTGGAAAGTTCATCCTCCTGTTGAACTTCTAAGTGTGACCATGGTCTGGGAGCTGAGGCAGCTGTGGACTCTCCTCAAGACCCCCCTGGGTCCCCAGGGCCCTGGGCCTTCCTAGGGACAGAGGTGCCCGGCCCAGGACCCAGCCTGCTGCACACCGATCCCTCGGACCCCGGCATAGGTGCCCATCTCCCCTGCCTCCCTCTGGCTCCCCACCCCACACCCCTGCCCCGCACCACTGCCAGGCCCGTGGTGCATTTTGCCTAAATCATGCAGGCTGGGGCTGGGGGGACACTGATGGGGGACTTCTCGTGCCCGTCCCTGCCTCCGAACGGCTACACAGCCGCCCCTCTCACTTGCCCCAGCAGTCCCTGGGGGCCAGAGAAAGATGGGGTTCCCACGCCCTCCCACACCCGCCTCGGAACTCCGTTCTGAGGTCCAGTTAGCGTTAACTAAGTGCACAGTGTCAAATGTCTCTCACGTAGCTTATAGACACGACGTGCCCCTGGTCGGGCCGGCTGCGGAGGCCCAGCCTCCTCGCTGGCCAAGTGCTAGGGCACAGCCTAGTTTCTGTAGGGAGTTTTGTTCTGTGAACAGGAGAAACCCGCGCCGTGGGGTGGAGCGGCATGGACGTGACCGTGGTCAGGGGCACCCCAGCCGAGGACCCCCGTGTCTGTCTGGGCCTCACACCCGCTCCTTCCCTTTCCCGTGTCTCTCAAAGTGTCAGAGTAACACACGTCAGGTCCCCGAGATGCCTCAGTTTCCCTAGGGTGAGCACTGGCTGACACACCTGGTCCTTTGAGGGGGCAGCTCTGTTCTCTCCAAGGGAAAAGGTTAGAGGAGGGGAGTCTCACTTTTTGTCAGTGTTACAAAAGCACTAAAAACACCCGAAGTCTCCCATGCACAGAGCACCCTGTGAACTCGCTCGCACAGCGCGGTGCCCAGAAGACAGGTCCTGCTCGGCGTGGCACGCCCAGCGGGGGGCCACCTCCGTGTATAATTGGAACGCGTTTCTTTTCCTTTCCTCTCCTTTTTCCATTCTGATTTTTTTTTTTGCATGTTTCTTTTTGAAAATGGACAAAATGTGTAACAGCCCCCGCATGACTGTGGTTGTTTTGGGGAAAGATACTGGAGTATGATGTATTCACACTGCAACTCTGAGCATCGTGCAGTTAGGCAAACGTCCCGACTTTTTTTGTAATCGTCAACAGCACAACTATTTTGTATTGTTGTTTGTATCATTTTGTACCAAAAAAAAAAAAAAAGAAAAGAAAAAAGGGAAGCGCGTCAATGTTTTCTGTGTTTTCAGTGCCAGGCGGTCTGGGTTCGGAACTGAGCGGCAGCTCTGCGGGGTGTCGTGTGCTGGAGCGGAGCCGGGCACTGTGGGCACACTGCTCCACGGGAGTCAATAAAGTCCCCCTTTTAAATAGTCGGCCTCACCCTGGCTTCTGTCTCTCGTGCATCCACAAAGCCCCTGGGGCTCACGGACGGCAGATGGACACACAGGGGCTCGGTGTTGAGAGTGGGGCCTGTTGGTCCGGCCGACATCTCCGGAGCCCTGCTCTGTCGCAGACACGGTTCTGGGCTCAGGGAGCACAGACATGAGCAAAAGCAGGCCGGCTTGTGACGTGTGGGAGGCCCAGGGGACCGAGCAATGAGGGCCTGCATGCTATCGCGTAACGGTTCCAAGTCCTTGGAAGGTCGAACTCAAGGCTCTCCGCCCTTCGTAATGCCAGGGAAGGCCTGGATCCACTTGGGAGCCCTCCTGCCCGCCCTCCATTGTCTTGGGGGCCTGGCCCCTCCCCATGCGGTGGCTCTTCCGTCTGGTGGGAAACCAGAGTTGCAGCCCCTCCCCTGCCCCCCGGCCATGGCCCCAGATCAAGAGGTCCACCCAGCCAGGCTTGGCCGTCCTCGGAAGCTCTGATGGGCCCGGCCTGGTCACATGACCTAGTGCCCCGGACAGCTGGCCTGAGTGTGAGATGGAGGAGCCCGGAGCGGGGGTGGCTCACACCTTCCCGGTCCTCAGGCCACACGGCGGGGCCTCTATGTCCGGCCCGGCTGGACCCGCAGGGCCCTGCCCTCCTTCAGTCAACGTGGTTCAGAAAGGCTGCGTGGCTGCCGTCTGGCCCAGCTACTAAGTGTCACAGTCAGGCCTGAGCCACAAGCCAGGCGTTCCCTGCACCCCAGCCCGGTGGTAGGGTTGGGGCTTCCGACTTCCTCTCCCCACGACGACCCTGGCTTTACTTAGGTACAAATTTGCATCCACAATAACATGTGTAACAAAAAGTCACTCACACGGTTAATTACGGGTGCAGTTGATAATTACAGGCACAATTAGCCACTTGCTAATTTTGAGGGTGCCAAGCAGCTAATTACAGGCATAATTAGGCAACTGCCTCAGGCCTGAGACCGGCAGTGGGGGGTGGGAGGGCACAAACTCCTATAATCAGACCCCCAGGGTGAGGCTCTGCTTAAGGACACCCTCCCCCACCCAGATCCACGGCCGAGGACTGGCCGTCCCACAGCAGAATGCAACCACGACGTCCAGCTGGGGGCCTCGGGGAAGCCAGGAGGCCCCTTCCCTGGAGACCCAGCGGCCTTCTCGTGGGTCACTTCACCAGACGGAGGCTGCCGTCCCTGCCTTCCGTGGGGGACCGCAGGCCCAGGAGGGGCCTCCAGACCCGTCAGTTCGCGGGGGTGCAGTGGTACAGCGCCCCGGGGCCTTGGCCCCTCCCCTAGGTGAAAACCCACCCTCAGGACCCAGGAGGCTGGGTCCTGCCGGCCAGGGTGCCCTGGGACTGACACAGGGGACACAGACAGCTGCCCAGACGCAGGTGAGACCCCAGGACACCTCACGATGCCAGGGCCACACGGTCAGTTCAGCCACCAATCCGAAGCCCACCCCCCTGGCAAGAGGTCAAGGCCAGCCTTGCTGGGGCCTAGGGGAGGCCAGCAGCCCTGAGAAGGACCCCTTGATCAGATTAGAAAGAGCCGGGCTCGAGGATGGACAGAAGGCAGGAGCAGGGGGAAGACGAAGCAGTTGTGCAGGGGAGGGGGGCCCATCCCAGCCCTGCCCCAGGCGTGGGGAGGACTTCCGCTGGGCTCTGGCCGTGTTGCTGGCCACGCCTGTGGACACCCCCACGTAGACGTCCACCCAGTCTAGAGCTCAAGACGAGGCCAGGAGGGGCAGATTTGGGTGTAATCAGGGCATGGCTGGGAGTGGACACTGGGAGCGTGTTCTAAGGGAGAAGGGCGAGCATGTGAGATGCAGGACCAGCGAGAAACTCCCACGTTTCGGGTCAAGGTGCCAAGAGCCATGGCCCCCCTTCCAGCGACCACACTCCTGAAGGACGGGCAGGGGCGCCCTTACCTCAGTCCCGGAATGTCCACATGGAGAAGAGCAGACTTCTACTCTGAACGTCATTTTAACAGATGGACACAGACTGCACACTGCCTCGTGGGAGCCCGGAGCGTGCGTCCCCACCTCCTCAGTGCCCTGAGAAAAGACCCCCCTTCTCTCCCCCCACCTGATGCTGCTCAGGCTGAGTGTCCCCCAGAGCCGCCCTGCGCCCCAACAGCGCAAGGCCAGCCTGGGGCAGGGGCAGGGGCGGGGCTGGGAGGAAGGCGCCGGGTGACCGCAGATCCGCCACGCGCGGGATGCCTTGATGCAGAGTCTCACGGTGAGATGTGCAGGACACGCTCTGACTCCCAACTGTACGGAGGACAACAACGGCTGACTTTCTGAGACCATCTTGGTCTTTTTCCCATTCAGAACGTGCAGAGCACTGAGTCCATGGCGCAACGTGCCCCCACGACAGCCCCGAGGGCACGAAGGGGAGCCTCCTCTCACATGCCACCAAGCCTCAGTCAACTGCCTTCTCGGGCCCCTCCCCGTGAGTAGGAGTGCTGGCCAGCTGACCTGGACCCGGCCCCACAGCGTCCAGGGCCCCTCTCTGCGCACAGCTTGGTGGCACCTCAGACCCAGGGCCGGTGCTCGGGCACATGCAGTGGTCACTCAAGACCCTCCAGTCTCTGGCTTCCAGGAACCTCACAGGAGAGGGAAGGGGTCTCAGTCGCTGGGTCCACGGGCAGGGGGCGGGGGGGGAGCCAGCCCCCTCCACAAGTGGGACCCTGGCCAGAGGCTCCCACTGAGGGCCCGTCCCACAGTGTCCACACCCCGCACCTGCCTCCCTGGCCAGTGGACTCCCGGTGCCTGGGTGCCAGTGACCATGTCTTGACTCAGGCCTCAGGGGTCTTATCAGAATGGGGCAGCACTTTGGGGACTGATGACCACATAAGAATTAAGTCATCAGGACAGCATTAGACCCCACCAAAAATAGGTCCTCAGGATTGACGGGGAGCCTGGACCCCAGATGCCCACCAAAGGGCAGAGGGAGTGGTCTGTGGCCA